CGAAAAAAAAATCACGGTCAGACATCAACCATTTTTCGTCTGAAAATGCTACCCAAAACATGTGAGTCATTTCGGCGATTGAAGTAAGATCAAGCTTAAGCAATCTGACCAACAAGGGTGATGGATCTGCCCCAGGGTTGGCTGAAGGTTTTTGATCAACCCAATTCTGCTGTGAATACCAAAATCCCCGTTACAACTATACATGCTGTGTCTCTATGTGTATTTAAATGATGAATGTTGAAATGTTGAAAAAATAATATTCATGGTAACTATATATATATATATATGCATATATATATAACTATGTATATATATATATTATGTATATAAGAGATTTCTTTTTAACATGATCCATTATACAAACAGTATATGTAATATAGATAGTTATATCACAATAATCCACAACTTTCATAGTTTCACAATATGAAGCCTAAAATCAGCGAAGCAAATCGTTCCACCGTCCCACCTGGCTGTTGGACTCGGAATCAGATCCTCCGTCCTCTTTGTTCGCCCCCGTCAGCCAGCCCTGTGCGGCCAGGAGATTGGAAGCACCGTTTGGACCGTTAAAGGGTCGTAGCAAAGAACCACTAGGAGGTTGTTAGCCCCCTAAAATTTCTGAAGTTGTAGTTCAATGGCTGGGTTTATGCTAAACATGCATGGTTGAAATATGTTGACATAATTATGTTGCATGTTTTTTTTGATCAGCGCGGGCGTTTCTAAGGCTTTCCTGCAGGTGTTCCCTTCAAACAGCAATAATAACTATCGGGCGTAAAATGGGGAGAACATGGGAAAACCCCAATTGAGCTTCAAACATCTAACAAAAATATCTGAAAATTATACAAAATGCTCCGTTTTCACCAGTGAGTTGTGACTGGATTGTCATGGTGACAGATCCAGTCCTTACCCCACGAAAACGATGAGCTGGAAATTTTGCTAGCCCCATGAAGCCCCAACTGCTTCCCCATTTCTTTCTTGGGAATATGGATAGAATATGTTAGAAACCATAGCTATCCAGAACGCCAACAGCTCCAACAGCTCTCTCTCTTCAGTGGAAAGTTTTTCAAAGCAGCCCGTGCCAAGGTGCAGGTAGGTTCGTCTCACCGACAAACATACCTAGTGTTTCACCAGTGCCGGAGCGGCATCATCTACCCTCTGGTAATGATGAAATTCTCGGAAAATCCACCATTTACAAATGACTTCACAATATAAATGCCCAGCTGGTTGGTGGTTGAGCTCGCCAGCCCTCTGAAAAATGATGGACTTCGTCAGTTGGGATGGTGATATTCCCATATATGGAAAAATAAAACATGTTCCGAACCACCAACCAGCCAGATATCTCTGGGGGTTTCAATTGCCATCTTTGATTGCCAGAGTCTACAAGTGTGTGCAGGTGTTGATCTGGTTGGTGCCCTCAACTGGTCCACAAACCCCTGGTCAAAAAGGCTTAATTTCGCAGAAAAACCATGGAATATTTATGATATAAACGTAAATGTACATCCAAAACACCACCACCAAACTATGTGAAAATTCCTTACATTTCAAAAAATGGAGGAGTTGTAAACCACGATCCACGTCACGGAACATCCAAAAACAATGTGAAAATCAGATATATCCAACATATCAACATCATCCCATGACCAAGCATGATCCCTTCCCGATCATATCAATTCATCTTAGCTGTTTAAGTGGCACACTCGAATCATCTTTGGAACCTTATGAAAGCTATGAAAGCTATGTAAACACACGTCTTATCCATGCAGTTCCAATATGTTCCAATGCAGCACTCCGAGAGTTTCATGATAAGATGTGCTCTAAAAGAAGTTTGGCGCCAAACATGACACGAGCCAGCCACCCCTTGCAGTCTGTTGACACGTGGTTTGCCCTGCTTGCTATGTAGGGGTTGGACGCTTTGCAACGCAAGTGGGTCAAGAGTTTTGGATCCAATTCAGAACCATGCATCGTTACAAGGCCAGCCTGACCTAAAACAGGCAGATGGATCTTCAAATCACCTCATGAAACTCACCTCCGGCTTGAGGCGTTGGCTTTCATCTTGATCATATCTTGATCATATGACCATGAAACTCATCATATTTTCCCAGCATCTTTCGATGATTCATCGAAAAATGAAACTCCAACTGCTTCCATGGCACCATTCACAGGCCCAGCGCACCATTGCCTCGCCCAAGGTGATGAAGCATCACTCTTAAGTTGAGCTGTTGGTGGCACATAGCCCTTGGCGCTACCATGTTGACCTGCACCGAGGCTAGTCGCGAGGCATACCGAGCGCCGGATAGCGCCGGCGCAGCAGCTGTGAACCGAAACATTGGGATGATCGTCCCATTTCTTTTTGCTTGCAAACAGTGATCAAACAGGCAAGCCGCTTACAACAACATACAACCCATACAACCAGAAAGCGGTGATCAAACCATGTTCATTGCTGTTTCAAAATGTTTCAAATCAACCAACTTCATAGATCTCTGGGATCAAATAAGATCAAATAAGTCTGCAGGATGGAAAGGGGCCAGCGGCCAGGGCCCACTTCTTCCATCATATTCTGATTTTGACCCGAAATGTGGCAATTGCTGCTCCCCCCAAAAAAAACGCCCAACGGGGGGGACATTACTCATATTACTCGTTGAAGATCAACCATGTTCTGAAGCTTTCACAAGTCTCGCACAACAGAACACCATCCAAACGTCATCAAACGTCCTATATGCTGTTAGTGTTGTTCTACAATTATGACGATTTTTTTTTCAGACCAAGAAAGTTTTCGTCCAACTGCCTTAAACTCCAGTTGCAGCATGTTGCCGCCCCGAAAAATCGCCTGGCAAACATCCAACTGCCGCCATGGCCAAAAGATTGTACTCCTCCACCGTCTCAGGTTTCGGACAGTTGCACCTGGTCGGATCTCATGGATCTGATGGATCTTATCACTGGAGGGCCATGATGATGACCATGGTCTCTGGGACCTTACCCGGCCTGGTAAACATAGAATGTCAACATATGTCAACTGGTCATACTGAAACACTGCCAGTTGCAACTACACAAACGTTGCCCGTAGATGTCCGTAGATCATAGGATGTGACATGGAAGTGGTAGCTGAGGTCTGTCTACCTCATTCGAGTTCCAACATCTCACAACTTGGACTTTGTCATGTTGCTCACTGCAGCTATATTGCTGTGAATGGCTTCTTTCACGATGTTTTTCAAGCAAGAGTTGCAGAAATCACCCAGTTGGGCCTTTTTTTCCAGTAAAAATCAGGGTGTTTCCTGTCGGGTTCCCCCAAAAAAAACACCAAGGGGATCTGGTGAACATTGGTGAACTTCCAGCACCATCCCCCACTCCCCACCTGCCACAGACTGGATTCCGCGCGAAGTTCGTGGACTTGCACTTGGGACAGGTCCAATCCCCAGGCTGTCCTGCCGCCCCGCGGGATGTGGGGATGGCGGGTGTCCCACTAAAAAGGCCATCCTTTAGGAGGTCTGAGATCCAAATCACTGATTGATGATGATTGATGAATTTATGACCATCCTCCATTATTAGGATCAATTCATATCAATGATATAATTAATATATTTATATATATATATAAACAATTAATATCCTCCAACATACTCCAACTCTTCACGATGTCGGCACAAAAACCATGACTTGGGGATTCAAACGATACTGATACGTCCCGCAATGGGCCAAGGTTTCAAAAACGAATGGGACATCACAGTGGGTTGATCTGAGCTACGGTTGGACGTTTTCAAAGTCAACCATCATCTACCCTCTGGTAAACGTTTACATAACTATGGAAAATCACCATGCTATCAATGGGTAAATCAACATAAATCAACGAACTCAATGGCCATTTTCAATAGCTTTTTCTATGTTTACCAGGCCGGGTATCTACAAGCAACGAATCCCCGGCTCGATTTTGAGTCGATTCTCCGAGGTGATACCGGTGATACACGCCGATCAATCGGAAATCCCCCAGGAAAAGGGTAGGAAATTGTTTGGGGATTTTTTTTTTAGTTTGGGGAATTTTTTTTGGATTTCCGGTTCTCACCATTTTCCATGCTATTTGCAGCATTTTGGAGCTGGAAACTGCCATTTCCACGGTATGTGCAACGGTTTTGAGTTCGAACCTCTCATTTTCCATTGTATTTTCCACGGTATTTGCAACAGTTTGCAGCATGTTCTGTCCATTTTCCATGCTCTTTGCAGCATTTTTGAGCTGGAATCTGCATTTCCACCGTATGTGCAACATTTTACAGCTACATTCCTCACAGTACTTGCAGGATTTTGGAGCTGAAGGCTGACATTCCAACAGTTGTTTGTTGTTACTGTTACTGGTGTTGGTGTTGGTGTTGTTGTTGTTGGTGGTGTTGTTGTTGTTGTTACCGTTAGTGTTGTTAGTGTTGTTAGTGTTGCTAGTGTTAGTGTTGTTAGTGTTGTTATATATATATATATACAATATATATATATACAATATATATATACAATATATATATATATATATACAATATATATATATACAATATATATATGTACAATATATATATATACAATGTATATATATATATTCTAACCAAAGTAGTGTATTGAAATGTGTGCAAGCTTGAATTTAAATAAAAAAAAACGGGAGGGGGGGATTGGGGGGGAGGGCTGAAGAGGGGCCCTAGCGTCTACTTCAAGATCAGCTAAGGCGTCTTCCCCAATGACAGCACTTGTTTTACTCAGCCTGTTGCCGGTCCGTGCTTGTCTACAGGGTTACTCTATATACCTCTTGAGCCTTGAAGGGCGCATATAAATGTGCTCAATACTCATGCATGTACCTATGTAGGTATTAGGTCGAAACAAAAACACAGGCACAAATTCAAAAGCAATGAGTAGAGCACTACGCCTTGCCGTACCCAATTGGTATTAAGAGTATCTTCCTGACTTCTCTACACAATGGCAAATAGCAAAAGAAACCGGAGTTACGCAGTGGCTTCGAATTGAAAAACACGTGAAAGCAGCGAATGTCCTAAGGACATGTCGAAAAAGAACAGCGGATTCGCTAATTTTTCCAGTAGCGACCAATGGTGCTTCGCGCACGGTCTTTCCACAGGCAAAATGCCTCGCTCTACCGGTGAAAGTTCGAATTGAAAAGTTCGGGTTCGCAAGATTCAGAAATTCAGGTCATACGAAAAACAATTGACCAAATCACGAAATAAACGGAGATAGCGGATCTCCAAAGTTGCTCATTCAAGCAAACAATGGACTGAAAACGAAGTTGGTAATTTTTGGAGTTCGCTCCATTCGGAGTGGTCTGCTCGCCGGATGATTCATGGAGATAAATGTATATAGTATCTCTATTTACAAGAGTCTCTATTCTACATTAAATTGAAGTTCAGACACTTGTGGCATTATCTCTATCTAAAAGAGTATATGCCATTTGTGTGAAATAAGTTGAACGCACAGAAAAACTGTACAAGGCTTCTCATGCTGTGTTATCTTCAATTAAAGAAGTATACACTCACTCATCGCCACTCACTTGATCTCCATGGTCTGGACGCTGAAGATGAGGATCCACCCCAACTAACGTTGCCCTGATACGTTGATGCTTGATCTTCATATGCCTTTCTCTTTTTCTCCTTCTGTCTTTCCTTTCTTGAATCAGCATACTGCTTCTTCTTGTAGGCCTGTTTGTAATGATGTCGTTCATTCCATGACATATCAGAAGGATCAAGATGGATAAGAATTGGATTATGAGCATCGCGATCATTTGGGGCAACCATGAAGATGTTGTGATCACCATGTAAGCAAGTTTCATTTACCTTGAAGTAAAATTCACCCACATAGTTCATGTGATCTTCATCCTCAAAGTCTTCTTGGTGTTCCTCACACATCAAACGTGAATGACCCCACTCAACAACTGTTAACATACAACAATCACCTTTACCATTTGTCTTGTTCATGAGCTCGTCGGTGTATGTTGCTGTTGTAATGCCATCCAAGTGCGTTGCAAGAAAATCCAAGTCACGATAACTGCAAGAAATGAAATGCTTGACCCTGATTGGAGGGCAAGATGAATCAAAATACTTGCGCATGGCTTGTGTTGCAACACCTACCATTCTGTTGATCCAGAATTGGATAAGGCTGTGTTGGTATGTAGGGACACCTGGAGATTTTGGTGTGCTGTAATAGCATGCCTTGTTTCCATCACCTGCGATGAAGTCAACTTGATATCTGGCACACTCAAAAGCCATAACAGCTAAGCACTCACCAACAATCCCAGCAGAGTCTGATGCATACTTCTGTCCGACGTGATAAACGCACACACGTGTCATTCTCATCCTAGCTCTTGTCAAGTCAACAATCTCGTCTGTATCTCGATCCTTTGTCTTTCCCCAAGATACTTCAAAGATTGCCCATGAGACTTGTCGAACTCGTGTGTCGTTGTCATCTGTGTGATATCCAGCAATTTGCTTGATATAGCCATCCTTTCCAAGGCGAGCTGCCACCATCAAGTCATGATAGTCATTGAAGCAAGTTTTAAAGTCAACCTCGTTGAGTCTTTCTCTGTGACGATACAACGAACCAGCCTCGCAATTCATGAAAAGATGTCCTCCAAAGTTCTTGATGACATTGATGAAGTAATTGTTGAACTGTGATTTGGTTTCATCAAATTTTTCATGATCCTCATCGATGGTGTAGTCAATGTGTGGAATGAATTGTTGAAATCTTTCTGGAACCGGGCATTTTTCAAATCTGTTTCTGCACCAGTTTCCCAAATTCCAAAACATTGCTGTTATCTGTGGAGAGGATCTGTATGGAAATTCAGCATCCTTGTACGTTGGGTCTGATAGGCCTCCACCTAAATACCTGTAAGCCAAGCTATGCAAGATCATACAGTAAGGCAAGACCTTGTGGTCCTCAACGTAATCTTGGAGTACCCTTGTGAGATTTCCAAAATCGTCATCAATCCTCTTTTCTGCTTCTTTTGAGGATCTTTCTGCCTTGTCTTGATGAAGAGGATGCATCCTTGGATCACTACAACCATATTCAATGCGCTGATTAAGTTCTTGTAATTCTAGTTGTGGATCCTGATCCTTGTGTCTGGCAATGTACTCAATCATCAACTGGTCATCTGTAAGATGGTACCAATAATCTTGATGTGGAGACATAGTCTTCCTGTACTTGACATGCCAAAACATGTGTCGATGCTTCGAAGACGCTGGATAACCTTTATTGTAAAATCCTGCCCATTCACGATGGTAACCATCTGAAAAACAATCCTTCAATTTTCGAAAAACTGAATCATCTTCGTTTCCAGTGATATCTTGACCATAGTAAAGTCGAATTGCAGGTTTCACTTCAGGAGCTGTCTCATCATCTTGAATGTCTGTCTTCTTCTCCCCTGATTCCTCCTTTTCTGAGGAGCGTTCAGGTGGAGCTGATTCCTCTTTCTCTGAAGAGCCTTCAGCTGGGACATGTGGCTCCTGTGTGTCTTTTTCTTCTTCTTCTTCTTCGACAGCAATCTCCTCTTCTTCATCCTTTTCTTTCTCTTGTCCTTCTTCTGGTTTGACAAAACTTTCCTTGATCTTTCGTTGAACATTCTGATTGCACATACTGATCCATTTCAATGTACACTCAACCAATTTGTCATCATCAGTTTCCAAAATGATATGCTTGTCCTCAATGTTCAAACTTTCAATGGTATGCTTGTACTCAGGATCACCCGCGCCTGGTCTTTGAAGATCTGGAAGAGGAGTGTCTGGATCATCGTCCACCAAATCAGGATCCTCTGCTCCAAAGAAATTTTCTGCGCCAAGGTGTTCATTGTCCTTGAGAACTTGGTCAATATCCAGTTTGAACTCATAGTACTTGTCGTAAGAGATCTCATAACCCATCATAGGTGCATACTGCTCCATAAATGTTGAAAAGGAAGCATCTGATAATGCTGACATCATCAACCATAATGAGAAGAAGCTTATGTCACCACGTTCAAGGGGTTGACCTCCTTCAAGATCATCTCCTGTGAGGACTGATTGGCCTGCGAGTGTAATATCATGGAGGATCTGTCTGTGCTCTGGTTTGAGTTGCCTGACTAAGAACAGTCCCTGTCGATCTTCCATATTTCTTCGAGGATTTGCATCAGGTAATACCTCACTTTCTTGTTGTGGTTGTGTTTCCTCTCTTTCTTGAGAGCATACACCTTCTTCCTCTCTTTCCTGAGAGCCTGATGCCTTTTCCTCCTCTTTCCTGACAAAAACTTGTAGTCTTGGCAAAAACTCCAAATCATCTTCAGCATCATCATCATCGTGACCTTCCATGTCCACATTCTGTTGCTCTGATCCTGGGATGTGAGCGATCTTGTCCTTTCCAGCTACCCAGATGTAGCCATCGAGCTTTGTAGATGTGTGGAAGTCACCTGAACCGCATTCCC